CCATTTGATACCGAAGCCTTTCCAGATTCCATTGTTGTTGCGACAGAGAAAGAAATCAGAATATCACAAATAGACACAGGACGCCAAACACACGTGCAAACACTACCAATGGGAGAAACTATTCGTCGCATAGCGTATTCTCGTAACGAGCGGGCCTTTGGTCTGGGCTGTTTGAAAAGGGAGGTTAAGAACAACGCGGAGATTCTCACTAGCTCGTTCAAGTTGGTAGATGAAGTTGCTTTCAAGCAGCTCGGAAGTGGTATTCTTTTAAACAGCTCGACGCGGGTTGAAGCGGTAGAGGCTGTCATTCGAGCGGAACTTCCTGACTCGTATGGGAATCCAGTTGAAAGATTTTTAGTTGGCACTTCATATCTCGACAGGCCGCAAGGGACATCACCAGAGGATTTCGTCAGGGGCAGAATCTTAGTTATCGGGGTTGACAGTGAAAGGACCCCCTACATAATCGGCAGCAAGGACTTGAAAGGCGCCTGTAGGTGTCTGGCTGTCATGGGGGACATGGTTGTCGCGGCCTTAGCAAAGACGGTTATCTTGTACTCATACGATGAGATATCTTCAACGTCTGTAGAGTTGAGGAAAGTAGCAACATATCGACCAGCTGCTTATCCTGTTGACTTGGCAATCGAGGGCAACATCATCGCGGTCGCTGACCTGATGAAATCAATGACGCTAGTTGAGTATGTCCCGCCTACCGACGGCCTAGCGGCCAAGCTTGTAGAAGTCTCAAGACATTACCAAGCTTTCTGGGCCACCGCTGTTTGCCATGTAGATCAGGAATCATGGCTAGAGTCCGACGCGCTGGGCAACTTACTGGTCCTAAGGCGAAACCTGGCCGGTGTCACGATAGAGGACAAGCGCCGCATGGAAGTCACAAGTGAGATCAACCTTGGAGAAATGGTGAATAAGATCCGAAAGGTCGTAGTGGATGCCAGCGAGAACGCCGTCGTCATCCCGCGCGCGTTTCTCGGCACAGTAAGTTATTTTATGGTCTTTCACAAACAGAGCATTGTTGCTAACAAATAAAATCACAGGTTGAAGGGGGCGTCTATTTGTTCGGAACTATTGCATCGGAGTACCAGGACCTTCTAATCCGATTCCAGAACAGGCTTGCAGAGGTCGTGGAGACTACGGGTAACATACTCTTCTCCAGATACCGATCTTTCAGGAACGAGGAGCGAGAATCGGACGGGCCGTTCCGCTTCATAGACGGAGAGTTCCTCGAGCGCTTCTTGGACATCGACGAGAAGGTGCAGGAGGAGGTATGTGCAGGATTAGGTCCTGACGTCGAGGCTATGCGAAACCTTGTCGAGGAGTTAAAACGAATTCACTAGGAGGTGGGCTCTTATCTACATGTATCAGGCTGACATGTATGTTCAGTTTAGAGGGATGGTTGGTGTATGTACTTGTGGATTGAAGGGTTTTGTAAGCTAGGCGTTGTGCAAAGATGACTGACACGACTTTGCGAGCTTATGATCATATCTGAGCTCCTACTTTATAAGACATGAGGATAAGGATGAGGATGATGTTGTTGTTGCAAAACGAGGTAGTAATTGCTAATGAGCAATTACATCTTATATTGTGACCTCCCTTCTCCTCTCCTGAGCTGAAAGCCGCTTTTATCTAGCCCTGGCTTACTTGATACGTTAATAATAGCTCTATTTCGACGGCGAGTAGATTTCGTGGATCACTTTTGTAACAATGGAGATGTTTCTGTCGATGTTAGTGAAGGTGAATAGTAAGTACCTAAGTACCCCGCTTCGGGCTTGCATGTACCTCTTAATCGACGTCACTTGCGTAGATACTGATCACATGACTCTAAGCAAAGTTGGCTCAGCAGATGATATCGGACTAACCCGAAGAATCGAACCAATCAATGGACAGGAATTTCGCAGCTCCTGAATTTTTCGTGCCTGAGGCCAATTACGGGACGTTTCGCAGAAGCACGTTAGCGGTTAGCTTGGGGAAACATTGCCGAAGTCTTTCGATACCGAACAAAAAATAAAAGACCTCAACCTTATACTTAACGATCTTCCCTACGACTCCGACCAATTGATTCGCCCACAACGCCATGGCGCCTCTGACGATTGCGTCCCGCGCACTCGCGCGAGGAGCAGCGAAATCCTGTGCCCGTGTAAATGCCGCCCGCGCCCTCAGCACCACTACCCAGCTCAACGATGCCGCCGGCTCTTACTCCAGCCCGTTCAAGTTCAAGGGCGAGCCCAAGTCTACCAGAATCCCCGACTTCGGCCACTATATGGCTAAGAACAGCCCCAATACGAATCTGCTCTTCCAGTACTTCATGGTTGGGACTATGGGTGCTATCACTGCTGCCGGGGCTAAGTCTACTGTGCAAGGTACGCTGCGCGCCTGTTACCTTCCGTAGCTCCGTTATTCCGCATGTTGGCTGTGGTTAGCTTATTCAATATTAACTTTCTTTCGATATAGAATTCCTAAAGAATATGTCCGCATCCGCCGACGTCTTGGCCATGGCCAAGGTCGAGGTCGACCTCAACGCTATCCCCGAGGGCAAGAACGTCATCATCAAGTGGAGAGGAAAGCCCGTGTTCATCCGACACCGTACCGAAGACGAGATCAACGAGGCGAACTCGGTCGACATCAAATCGTTGCGTGATCCCGAGCTCGACGAGGACCGTGTCAAGAAGCCTGAGTGGCTGGTTATGTTGGGTACGGCCGTCTTTTATTTTCAACTATGTTATACGCCGACGACTTGATACTTTGGTTATGAAGTTTAGGTATATATGGCTAACGATTGGTTATTATAGGTGTCTGCACGCATCTGGGTTGTGTGCCCATCGGCGAGGCGGGAGACTTCGGCGGGTGGTTCTGCCCGTGTCACGGATCGCACTACGACATCTCGGGACGTATAAGGAAAGGACCTGCGCCGCTCAACCTCGAGATCCCCTTGTACGAATTCCCCGAGGAGGACAAGTTGGTTATCGGTTAAAGCAAGCTCGCGCTGTACAATTACCAATTACCAATTACCTAGACTGGCGGCGGGTCGTGCCTCATTTGATAGACGTAATGGCAAGATCGTTTTGAGGTTCATCCTGGCATTCCTTAGAAATTTCCCTTGACGTGGCCATGGCCAAGGCCAATCTGTACAAACAATTCGAAACTTTGTCGAGATTAAAAAAGCATCAACACTTCTAAGACTACTTGTGTCTTTTTACACCGTTTATGCTTGAGCTAGTGGTTGAGACGTATTAATCCTACAGCTGGTTTACTATAGCACCACGTTATAAGCAAACTTGTCTTGGTCTACGCTTATGGAGAAATAGAAAAAGAAATCTGGTACGATTATTGCTCGAGCGGGATCTTGATGAGTGAGAATTGTCTAAGAAGCCCATTAAAGACAGCCGCATGCAAATATCGAAGTGGATTACCATAAGATGATTAATGCCAGAAAGATAACTTCGTAGACTGCCTACGTAAGAGCCCGAAGGCCCGTTTAGATGAGACACCAAGAGGCGATCAATCAACGACAACGGACGAACCTTGTGTGCTATCCATATGCCGCACATCAAAGCAGCATAGGTATTTATGCGGGGACGACCCGGCAGCGGCATTGGTGAGAGATTCAATGGCCCTATGGATGGAGCCTTGTTCAACATCATAAGATTTGCCTAACCCCGGGGGACATCGTTGCCGGGCGGTAATCTAAGTCTTGAACTTGGCGCTGTCACAGGAGGGATACTGCTTTAATAAAGTTGCGTGGAATGTCAGAATATTGACACCTGTAAATGCTGGAAAGTATGTGATATAATATCCGGACAATGCGGTAAATAGAGTGTTGGGTTACCCATTTAATAGTTAACTAAGACAAGTCTTTAACCATTAGTTAGATAGTTATAACTGGCTACAATCCCTTCGAAAGGTTCCTCCCTATAAATCTTCAACTTTAATTACTCAATTATCAGTACCTACATAATCTAAGTCAACCTCGTATCGCTTTTAAACAAATTAGGAAGTGGTTGACATTTTGGAGATCTATGTACAAATATGGGCAAGTTAAACACCCTGTCCTAGGTCCTTGATAACCACACGACACCTAGGATATGAGAACAGACATGCGTGTAGTGTACCTTCGTATGAGCAAAGCAGCTCAAACCCGAATCCGTTGATTTCCCGACGCAGAGGTCCGAAGCTGTGTGGAGTTGAGCCATGAGGCGATCCAAGTTGGCGCCAGGGGTTCCCTCTCAAAGCTGTCAAAACTGTTAGCCCAGCCAATCATGACCCCTGTGACCCCCGGACGCGGCTCGACCACTTTGAGACACTTCAGGTTGGATAGACAGTCTCATCCCAACTTTGTCGGTCTCAAACCCGAAAATGAGTGTTATCGTGTCCACTTAGCCTCCAGCTTTGACACAGGCATTGCTGTTATACGGAATATTATCAAATTGACTATCCGAGATGGGGAATTCCTCCTGCAGAACGGATGAAGCTGATGGCAAGGCTATTGATCTGCTTTTGTTGACAGCCGCTTCGCAATTACATAGTGTATCGCGAACGGCTCATCGGCCCTGGAACCCGGCATAGATAATGACATCCTAGGTCTGATCTCTTACGTGCAAATGCCATATGCGAAGCATTTCGTCCCAACCCTTGACAGCTTTGACAGCTCATTCATTCCGGCTTCTACTCGAGCCGATGCGAGCTATCCTAGCCGCTTATCCTAGATTGGGACGCTGGTGTTTCTTCTCCAGTCCAACATCATCTCATCTTGGGGCGATTAGATCTAATATGGGACCAGGGTCGATATACCCTCTTCTGATGAGACAGTTTGGACGCTAGAGCTTCACCAGGGGCGTATACCTTACATAGCTAGGGGCCATGCTTGGCGTCTACGATACGACTTCGAATATTCTATTACTATTAGGTATATAGGGACATGGCTGCCCTATACAATACAGACGTTTCTTCTTCTCTTCTTTTCTCGCTCATCCAACGACAGCACCGCTTTCTGACCCTGTTACATTCTTTCTAGTTCTGGGAACTATTCTTTTTTTCGTTTATTCTTAACGTTCTTTATTTTACGCTTCGGTATAATATTCTTATTAGGCAGGGCCTCTTTAGACTTTACAATACGATCTCTATAGTTACGAACAATCGTTAATACCCATAATCCGACAATATGAAGGTTGAGACTAGTGCTGCTTTATTCGCTCTCTTGAGCGTGGCATCTGCCCGCCCTGATGCCGTCAAGATATTCAGGAAGACCCACGCCCCTATTGGCGCATCCGCCAAGTTTAGGCGCGAGGTTCCTCGTAAGTTTCTCGGCCGAGGAACATCCTGGAGAACATGACTAACATAATTTCAGAGGAGCATTCCCACGAGAAGTTCCTAACGGGCGTCGGCCAGGCCTTGAATTTGAACAATGTTGACCAGGTCCAAGACCCTGTCTTCGCTCTCCTTGGAAACAAGGCCGCCGCTCAGGGTGCTGGCCAGGTTCAGGACTTGGACTGCCTCCAACAGCGAGTTGCCGACCAGGCTTTCACCAACGCCAAGGCTGCCAACGATGTCGAGGGCATGACTAACGCGTTGATCTTCCGTGCTCTTGAAAGAAATACTGGCTCAGTCGGTCTGGCCTCCGTTTTGTGCACGTCCGAAACCGCAAAGAACCCTGAGATTGCTGCTATCCAGCAGCATCAGGACCCCGCCTCTTCAGGTGCTGCTGCTCTAAACAAGCAGATCACCCTCGACCTAGCTGTCCAGCTTGCCTCTATCGGCGCTGATCCCCAGCTCGCCCTTCAATCGGGAACCTTTGCTCCCGGTCAAGCTGGAGATCAGACTGGCGCTGGCAACACTTGCGACGACGCGAATGACACCGAGGGTTGCATCTTTACCCAGAACCTCCTTGTCGAGGATGCCACCGCCGAAGAGATCGATGCTGCCGTTGCTGCGGCTGGTGGCAGCGCCAACACCGGGAACAACAATGCTGATGCTGGCAACGCCGCTGACGATGCCGCAGATGATGGTGAGTAGAACTTTGCTTGGAATATCGAGTATCAAAGCTAGTACTAACGGTAATAAATAGGATGTGAGGCTGATGACGGCACCGCAGATGCCAACAACAATGCTGACGACACTGCCGATGATGGTAAGTGAAATCCTGCTTGATGCTTGGGATATTGAGTTTTAGAGCTAGGACTAATGATAATATATAGGATGCGAGGCTGATGATGGCTCTGCTAATGACACTTCGAACAACAATGCCGGTAGCAGCAATAACAACAGCGGAAACAGCACCACCGGAGGTACCGCTACAACCGGGACCAACGTCAACGCTTTCACTGGCAGCGTCGGCTCCGCCCCTGTTCCCGTAATCAGCTCCACAGCTGACAGGCCCTTCTCCGTTAACGGCAACACCTTCCTGAATTTAGGCGCCGCTATCCAGCGTGCCTGCGACGTGCAGAAGAACGCTTGCGCCAACGCAGCCAACGGTGGCGACAAGACTATCAGCGTATCCGACTGCGACACCCAGCAGCAGCAGTGCGTCGCCCAGAACGGCAAGAAGCGCCGCCAGTCCGTTGACACCGGATCCTGCGGATCGCCCGCTATCTCTTTCGGACAGCAGAAGGACCGTGGTGACGAGGATGCGTTCGCTCCCGTGAACAGTGCCGACTTCAACCACGGATCTGCTCTTAAGCCCGCTGTTATCACGGACTTTATCTGCAGCCAGCTCCAGAGCAAGTGCGGCGCTTCGGCAGCGACTGTTGCGCAATGCCAGGAGGGTGCTCAAGCGGCAGATTCGTTAAACGGACAGGCTGCTGCTGATGCGTTTAATGCCGCATTGGGTGCGTAAGAGAAGAGGATTGGGGACGATGAGAGAGGAGTCTATTTTGGTAATATAGGGGTTTATGATGGGTCGTATATTATATATATGGGATGAGCGCTTTCAATTCAATGTGATGTCTGTTTCGTGATGAATATGTCGCTACCTTGTTCAGCTGAAGTGTATAACTTGTACTACGATGAGCTACTGTCGAACAAGCCGCTTTACCGTTAAAAGGTTATTTGGTAATAGATTTTGTTCTATTATGCTTTATATTTATATCTGACAACTACTTGGTGGAGTTAGTATGAAAGATTAATCCAAGATAATGGCCATTTTCTTTACCGAATCTACTACACGGACCGCTTTTATAGACAGACTATTTTATGTAACAGTTTTCTTTCGTAGCTACCGATAGATATATTAGAGTGATGGGCTAATTGACACCTCGGTGGCAAAGGTAGCCTGCAATACCAGAAGGACAGGATGCACCCTTTGATCTACCTAGGTATTATAAGGGGCCTCCATCTAGTTAATGCATCTCGGATCCTATTACCAAGCTATGCTGTTGGATATTTTTAAGAATGAGGTTTTCCTCGACATTTCTATAACTACGTACCCAGGTAATCATCATTAAATAACCACCACTCAAACCATCGGCGTACCCATAGACGCGTAGGCTAGACTCGGCCCGTATGGATACTTTTTCGATTAGATTGTGCAACCTAGATGTATACTCAGATAAACCAGTCCCGGCCACTGGTTTTGTTACATCGGTTATCACTGAAGACTCTCGTACTTGAGGATACACAACAGGCACATCCCGGTTTACACAAGCATTATATGATAGCACGGGCAGACGTTCCATCTCCACCCTGTGTTCCGGTAATGGAATGGCTTGCGTTACAGTATATCTCGGTAATTGGCGAATTTTCCCGCGTGTCTCGTGCATTTGTCTGATATCTAGCCCAATGTTGCCCCATAGGAGGCCTTTCAGGGGTTCAGCTATTCACTGACAACCTCTGAAACAGACCAATCGAGCCTTTTTAAGAAGAATAAAACTGATTATTATGTGTTCACAATGGCCTCATGATGCCAAATTTATTGGTGGAATCAACAAGAAGGCAAAAGTTTTGGCGAGCTGAACAAATAAATAGGTGGTGCAAGGCCGAATCGCGGTTACAGTAAAGCTGGAGGATACACAACATTCACGCAGAGTTGATACTTGCATAATAACACTTGACCATTTTTATAGAAAAGAGGCTCAAAGTGAAAAGTTGTAGGTCAAGTTCGATGGATGGGAGACCGGCAGTCCGCATAGTAATTTGCGAGCTTGCAGTTGAGATGTTTGCCTCCGCTGCTAGGATAGCCTTGGTAGATATCTATACATTTACATATTCGAAAACGCACTCCTATAGCAAAGTTCTCCACAAGTAAGGTGGTCTCTCCTCTAGAAATATACCGCATACACCTTTTCTTATTTCTTCCAATGTCTCTCGATTGTTGTGTACTACAGGTAAACAAGGATACACATATTTCACAACTAGTTTCCTTTCATAACACAACCTCACACACGTGGTCATTAGTTCACTTAATAGGAGGGCTAGAAGTAACGTCTTCGGATTAATACTTGTTGACCACCAAGTTTATTGTAGGGAGACGTGTCAACTCGGTGAATATTGAAGACACACCGTCCTCATCTCGCCAGAATACAGACGAAATTCCACAGTAACATGATCACTCTTGGTAACTGCTTAACGGAAAACTACCGAGAGCAAGTTTGAACGGGACGGTCCACGAGAGCCCCCTTTTCCTTTATCTAGGTGCACCCTTACTGATATTATATTATATTGCAGCTGTGGATAACTGGTGGAGAGTGACCTTGCCAGCTGCGCTCTTTCATAACACTGGAGAAAGATATCTGAAATATATAAAAGGAAAAATCGCCAGATGGCAACTCAATAGTGCCCTGAAGTGGCCTGACTCACGTAGCAACAGTAGGTTAGTATTCTATTATTGCAGCTGGAACTTGTCGTAACCAGGTACGTACCGGTCAAGGTGAGCACCTGCACCTTAGACGTTATGTACCGGTGCCCGTAAATGCATATGCATCTACACCTTCCTTCCTTCCTTCCTTCCGCCCCTTACTCACGACAATTCCTCCGTCGCTCTTTCCCTCTTGTTTCTAAACATCTTATCTTAGGCACGCGTGAACTTTAAAAGTGCCTGACTCAGCCAATGGGGTCTCAGGTATCAATCCCCTCTAGATGAGATACAATACGGAAGGTACGATCCTAAGGAACGCGGTTGCCCTGGTTGTCGCTCCCCACCGTCCTCTCTTTTTTTTTTACCTTTGCACAAACCGTCCAACTATTTATTTTTCGGCATTGTTCCCCAGGCAAGAGAAACATTCTTTTCTTTACAACTAAAGAGGGCACACCCTATCCAGTCACAGAGTAGCCTGCAGAGTCGGCACACACAAGACGGTGCGACTTTTCATTTGATCTCGTCCTCCGCGTCTTGTACCGTCTTCTAAGGATCTACTCGGCCTTCTTTTTCGCGCCCTGCCCTGCCTTGCCTTGCGCTGTTTCCCGATAAACAATATCGTCAAACCTTTGATCAAACAGTCTAACTTCCTACAATCATCCCTCTCACTTATCCTCAACCATCGTTGTCTTTGCCTAGCCTGTTGGACTCAATTTCCATTCCTCGCTAGGCTATTTTAATCAGTTATCTTCTGTGTACCCGATCTAACCGACGCGACTGCTTGTCGCTTGAGCGAGACAAGATGCCGAACATCTATGGATTCATCGATGGAGTGATGAACAAGGTGGCATATGTTGACGAGTACGTCAATCGATCAACTTTTGGTCGCGTCTTCCGCCTGGATGGGTCTGGTCACGTAAGTTAAATTTTTTTCATCCTTTTTCATAAACCATCACATACATCCTCAACAAAACATTTGATACCATGGATTCTATCTTTGTGATCATCCTATCTAATTCTCTCGGCCCGTACCATACAATACTTCCAACAAACACAGAAAAAGTCACCATGCTAACAGCAATTAGCCCCAAACCATCCGCGGTTCGTCTTTCTTTCGAGAGATCCGCGCCGGCTTGACTACCTTCGCAACTATGGCATACATTGTTGCTGTCAACGTGAGCATCCTGTCTACTACTCCTCTTCTTAGTCTATATACCTAACCAAAACAAGGCTGCTGTTCTTGCAGACTCTGGAGGCATGTGTCAGTGCCCGGAGGGATCTGAGCCTGGCTGCCCTGGCGATTTTGAGTACGCCAATTGCCAGACCGGTAAGTACTTGCTAACTCCGAAAAAAAAAAAATCACAAGTTGGAACCAGGGCTGACTCTTACGTAGTTCTGAAGCGAGATCTGATTACTGCTACGGCGGCCCTCTCTGGCCTTGCCAGCATCGTGTTCGGATTCCTTACGAACCTTCCTGTTTCTCTCGGGTATGCCAACTCTCTTCTTATATGAATTTGTTATCACATTATCGCATTATTCTAACCCACTTCAAGACCAGGTATGGGCCTTAATGCCTATTTCACCTACCAGGTCGTCGGTTGGCACGGCACGGGCATGGTCCCTTACAAGGTCGCTCTTCTTGCCATCTTTGTGGAAGGATGGATCTTTGTCTTCCTAGCTTTGACCGGAATGCGACAGTGGTTGGTTCGAATGATCCCGGCTACCATCAAGACGGCCTGTGGCGTCGGCATTGGCTTGTTCCTTACAGAGATCGGATTGTCTTATTCTGCAGGCATCGGTGCGATCACGGGTGGATTCTCTACTCCTCTCACCATTGGAGGTTGCCCTGCCGAGTATCTTAACGACAAGGGAGAGTGCTCTAGCCACATCATGACAAATCCTGGGGTAAGAATCATTATGCGCAGCATTGAGTATTTGGCTTACAATTAGTAACAGATGTGGATTGGTATCTTCATCGGTGGCATCTTCGTCGCGTTTCTGATGGCCTTTAAGGTCAAGAGTGCCATTGTCATCGGTATTGCAATCGTGTCAATCATGTCCTGGCCGTGAGTGGAACCTTATATTACCCCTTTTATCTATCGAATCAAACTTAACTGATAATCATTAGGCGCAACACCCCTTTCACTTACTTCCCTTACACGGAGGCTGGCGAGGAACGATTCCAATTCTTCAAACAGGTCATCGCATTCCATCCGATCAAGACTGTCTTGAATGCCCAGGACTGGGGTCTCGAGGGCGCTGCCGGAGCCCAATTTGCCTTGGCCCTCGTTACCTTCCTCTACGTCGACATTATTGACTGTACTGCGACGCTGTATTCGATGGCAAAGTTCTGCGGCGTTGTTGGGGAAGACGGCGACTTTCCCCGCTCGACTCTTGCGTATTGCACTGATGCAGTCATGATTTCAATTGGTTCCCTCTTTGGTTGTTCGCCCGTTACCGCCTTCATCGAGAGCGGTGCAGGAATTGCAGAAGGTGGTCGTACCGGATTGACTGCAATCTCAGCTGGTGTTTGCTTCCTCATCTGTCTGTTCTTTGCCCCAATTTTGGCCTCTGTTCCGCCCTGGGCTACGGGATCAACCTTGGTTTTGGTAAGCTTGCCCACCTATGAATGCTATAATCGAAGAGAGTGACTAATATTATTTTTCAAGGTCGGTTGTCTAATGATCCGTCAAGTCATCAATATCAACTGGCAGTACATTGGTGATGCTGTCCCGTCTTTCGTCACTCTGGCCTTCATGCCCTTCAGCTACAGCGTCGCCTATGGTCTAATTGCGTGAGTACCTTCTATTGAATAAACAGGCATAGGCTAACCGAAACAATAGGGGTATGCTGGTATACGTCGTCCTGAACAGCATGATCTTCTTTATCGTATGGGTCACCAGAGGCAGAGTCACCCCGTCCAACTGGCACGAGAAGGAGGTTTATGATTGGGGACTAGGTGCCAGAGATGTCCCTAGCTGGATGAAGCGTGTTGCCGGAAAGGTCATGCCAGGCCGTTTTCAATTCGAGACTAAGAGTCACAAGGATGCCATGGAACTGGTGGACAACGAGAGCGTTATGAACGCCGCCACTGAGACCAGCTCGCGAGGCCATTCGGATGAAGAAAACAAGGATGTACACGTCACGCAGAGCCACACTCAGCCTCGTATT